ATGTTTTGAGAATGATGAGGGCAATGAATGTACAAATGTGCTTTACACAACTGATGTGTGTATGAATTGTGATAAGAGTTGTAGCAGATTTCCCTGACCTAACTCGGATCTCTGAACCACCCGGGGGCTCGTGCCCCAACCCTTTCTCTGCTCTCCTCTCCCTCCCGGGAGTTCTTTCCCTGCCTCAATAAATCCTTAACCTCTTAAAAAAAAAGAGAGAGAGAGAGTTGGATGAGACCCTAATAAAACAATTTTAAAATTATAATAAATACATTAAAAAAACACACACACAAGATATATCCAAGTCCTGATGCCCAGTACCTCTGAATGTGTATGACCTTATTTGGAAAGAGGGTCAATCACAAAGTCTGAATTATTTATACTGTGACATATTTTCATGTGCTCTAGGAACCAGAAGGCAAGAAAGGTTTGTTAAGGAGAACTGACAGCTATGGGAGGGCAGTGTGGTAGGGTGGTGACAGGGGTAAAATAAATGCAATTGATGTTATTTCCCAAACTAGAAGTAAACAAATAAAGACAAAGCTATGATTCCTGATCTCAAGCATCTCATAATTGTATTTTTAATTAAGAAACCACACACCATAAAGCAGTGCATGTGTGTTGTGGGAGAGTACACAGAGCATAGCGTGCAGAGAACACACTCGAACTAGGTAAGACACTGGCAGAAGTTGTTAAAAAAAATTGGATTCAAGCAGAGGATGAGGGGTCTTGGAGGGATTTTAAATGGAAGAATAATAAAGATCAGATTTGGGGGAGGGAGGAGATAAAGGGGAGCTGATGTCTAAGAGTTCAAGAAGAAAGAAAATGTTTTGAAATTGATGGTGGCAGCAATTGTACAATTACGCTTGAACTAATTAAATTATGGATTGTTATATCTGTAAGATCTCCCAATAAAATAATAAAAGGAAAAAATAAAGCAAGTAGGGCATTGTGTATTCAGTAAATATTAGTATATCTAAAATAAATAACTAAATAAAAGATAAGATTTGTAATGTTGAAATGATGTTGCTGGTTGCAATGAAGTAAATTCATTGGCTAGGGGGCAAAAAAGGCAAGCCTAGAAAGTCAGAGAGATCATGTAAAGCAGTCTACACTGGAAAGGTCTGAACTCCCAAATCAGCTGTATTTGGGGAAAAAAGAGATAGAGTCTATGATTATGGGAACAGAATGAATATAGACAAGGGAGTTTCAGAAAGTTCATGGTAAAATTCCATTATCATTTACAATTCATTTTTCCATGGAGTTTTTGAAACCCCTCGTAGTGGATGAAATAAAGAGTTCCCAGAGCCATTAATTGAGACAGCGAACAAAAAGGATGTAAAATCATAAAATAACATTTGGACCCGTGGGGCTTAAACTACTCAAGATCTCCAGAATGGAACTGTAGGTAGGTGTTTGCAGCTCATAGGACACACATCTGGAGTTCAGGTGTCAGAATGAGGGAGTTTTTTCTGAGCCCTACTCTCACTCTGTATTGGAATCAATGACATTTTCCTCCATAATACTCAATACACTGTAATTATTTGCTCAGAATTGGTTTTTCCCACTATACAGTAAGATATGTGTCCGTCTTCTTTACTACTGATGGTATATGTGAAGACATAGTACCGTTTACCCAAAAATAAGAGTGTCTTATATTAATTTTTGTTCCCAAAGATGCGCCAGGTCTTATTTTCAGGGGATGTCTTATTTTTCCATGAAGAATATGGTACACATTTATGGTTTATTGTTTTATTAAATGAGACCTCGCACTTCCTGTCTGCTCCGGCTGTGCTGCGGCCAACAGTGAGCTGCACCGCTACGGTCCAGAGTCCAGAGTTACGGTAGCTTCTGGAGGTCTTATTTTCCGGGAGGTCTTGTTTTCTGGGGGATGCCTTATATTTCAGCGAGAGGCAGAACTGTAAATAGGTCTTATTTTGGGGGGATGTCTTACTTTCGGGGAAACAAGGTATATAGTAGACACACATTAAACATACATGAGGCTTCAATATGTCCATTGGAGATTTTAATTAGAAGATAGTAAATGTTTCCTATAATTTTTTTCGAGTCTCCCTTGTACACCGGATGTTTGTATTAATAACATAGTCACCAGTAGGTCTGAACAAGAGAAAAAAGACAAAAGATAAAGAAGGCTAAGTAGTGATGGCACTGTCCAGGGAAAACAAGTTAAGGAGAAACTGGAAGAAAAGAAGTCAAACAAAAGAAACAGAGTCCAAGAAAGCAGAAGGAAGAAAACGAGGTAAGTCTAATGTTGTGATCTCCACATGACCAGAGCCTGCAAAAAAAGTCAAGAACTTGACATTGAGTCCCTAAGATTTGGCAAGAATTGGTGTCAATGTGGGCAAGAAGTAATGAGTTATGCATTGGGCTGCCAACCCACAAGGTCCAGCAGTTCGAAGCCACCAGCTGCCCATGGGAGGAAAATGAGGCTTTCTTTCCAGTAAGATTGACAGCCTTGGAAGCTCACGGGGTTAGACTGGTGGTTATGCGTAGGGCTGTGAAGCGCATGGTGAGCGGTTCAAAGCCATCAGCAGCAGCCCCGCTAGAGAAAGACTGTGCTTTCTATTCCAGTAAACAGTTAGGGTCTCGGAAACCCACAGCGGGTCGCTAGAAAACAGCACTGACTCCGTGGCTCACTCTGAGTCAAAACTGCTTTTAGCGAAAGCGCCAAACAAGTGGGCTCCCTGTACTCACTGGGGTTTGCGGCCATCGGAGCGGAGACCCCGGGCATGGTGCAACCTCCTGGAACTGGGGCGGGTTGAATTCGGGCCCTTGCTGCCGTAGCGATCTTCACTCGCTCCCACCCGCTGCAGCGGAGTCCTCTCTTGGAGGCCCACGTGGAGGGAATTTTTGTCTTCCCTTTCTCCCAGAAATCACTGAGGTGGCAAGTGTCACCAGAGTGTCGCTGGCCGCACAGTGGGGGCCGCCACGTAGTCCCTTGCTGCCCTCAGAGACTGACTCCCGGCGTCGCTGGCTGCGGACTCCGGTCTTCAAAGAACCGCCGAAGTGATGGCCGCGGACCTCATCCACTCTTTCCGCTGCCACGGGAGCCTCGGTGGCCTTCTCTTTCCCGTGAGATGGCCACTCGCTCTAGTTCTCTCTCAGAGGCACTTGGTGGGTGGCCCAAGGCTTCACTTCCTCTCACCGCTCCGGCCTGCAGGGGTGGTCGCTCGCCCCGAGTCCTTCCCCGCCGCCTTCGCGGCGGCTACAAAAGCCCCGGGCTTCGCGCTTTCTGGCCTCGCCCCACGCGGTCTCCGGCCGGCACCCCCCGCGAGTCCCCGGGGCGGCGACAGCCCTGGGTGACGCTGTCGCTCCAAGCTGCTTCCCGGCTTCCGGACTCGGGCGGCAGAGGCTGTCGCCATGGAAACGAGTACACTACCGGCGTGCTGCCGTCATTTCCAGTTCCTTACGGGACACGTCACTTCCGGCTTCCGAGCCAGGCCCTCCCCGCCCCCTGCCTTTTTTTTTTTTTTTGTCTTTTTAATCCTTCGACTCAAGTGAAATCACGGGTGGTGATAGGGGCCGAATTTTAGTGAACTCGTGGTCGGTGTCACCCGCACCTTCTCTCTCTCTGTAACTACCCAGCTTGGTCCGCGCCCTGCTCCGCTCAACGACCAGTCGAAGGCCCCAGGACTGCTCTCTGCGTAGGTGACCTGTGGCGCGGGCCGGCCGGGCGGGGCCTTTCCCCTTTTCGTCCTTGGCCGACTGAGTGTAATTTTTCAATGCTGGATGGAACATGGGAGACTCTCTGTTAACCCTGTCATTTCACAAGCATGGAAACAGATCGCAAGAAGTCAGTAGCCGCCGCTGTGATCATTAAGTGCTTACTAGAACCAGGCTCTTTGATTTTCGATTGTTCTTTAATTTTCACAAAAATTTTGCAAGGTAGGTGCTATCCTCGTTTTACAGGTAAGGAGATAAATGGAATCAGTAAATTTCCCAAGGCCAAAAAGCAGGTAAGTGGTAGAACCAGTATAAAAACACAGATCTCTACTCCAGATCCCAAGTTACTGTAGCATGTTTATTTTCATCATTTTAGACCAGATCCCCCCCACCCCTCTTCCTTAACATACATGCCTACATCCACTATTTTTTTGTAGACATACGGTTCAGGCTTTGTATCAGCAACTAATAATACAGAAATTTAATCAGCATTCTCCGCCCTCTGAACAATCACCCACCTTGAATCTTCTTTTCAACCGGTCGCATTCTTTTTACCTTGCGATGCATACCTTTGCCCTTTGAAAGCATGCAGTACTTTTTTACGTCTCTGTGCTTTTGTGAAATGCTGTTCCTCCTACCAGGGAGCTTCTCTGCTGCCCACTCGTACTGCAAGTCGGGGTCCTCTTCACCTTTCCTTCCTGAGGTGCAACCAATAACCCTTGAACTTGCTTGCATCACCTTATAAAATATTCACTGGCATATGTTGTGTTCATATAATCAGTCTATGTGCTTTTTATTAGTTTTCTTACTTAATTTGTCAGTGTAGTTATTACTGGTTTGTTTTTGCTTGTGATTCTTACAGATAATAAGGCACAAAAGTTAGTTCCTGAAGGTACACAAGTAGTAAGTACACGAAATAGGATTCCACCAAAGACTTTATTTTATATGTTGTTCAAGGCTTTTGTATTCCCACAACTTTTAATAGATTGTAATCACTTATTTATCAGTTGATCCTCTGTCCCTCGCCCCATGGACTCTGGGCTTCATGGCATTCTGAATATTCAAACTGTGGGGCATTGATTGGCTGTTGGACAGGTGGGAGAACTGGTAGGTAGGCAAAAGTCAAATTTTTCAGAATTGAAAAAGAATTTTGGAATTAGTGATCCTAACTCATTTTAGAAGCCCGGGTGATTTTGTGGGTTACACCTTGACTGCTAACCTCCAAGTTGGCAGTTAAAAACCACCAGCTACTTCATCTGGGAACAATAAAACTTTCCACTCCCATCAAGAGTTAAATCTTGGGAACCTAGAGGGACAGTTCTACCCTGTCCTAAAGGGGTGCCATGAGTCAGAATTGACTCTATGGTGGTGAGTTTGGTTCATCTCATTTTGAGGCCTTTTGTTTTATCAGACTTCTATCACGTGATTAATGTGGACCGATTTCCAGGGTACGTGGCTTGCAAGTCTTGACAAATTTAATATAATTGTGTCTATTTTTACAGATGAAGAAACAGCTCAGATTTGGTCAAGATCTCAAAGTGGGAAATGGAAACTCATTTTGACTCACTAAATTAATATAGTGCTTATAAATACATAATGATAAAGGCTTGTTTGCTGTGTGGTGTGCATAAACTCTTTAAGGAACTATGGTAGCACATGATATATCCTTAAAGAACATACACTTGGCAGGAATGACCAGAAGAGGAGAAATAAATAGGCAGTAGAGAAGCAGAAAAGCTACAATCTCCAAAACAAAGCAGGAGTTAATGAAATGGAAAATAAAATAGATCAAAAGGATAACTATTTTTAAAAGAACAATAAGGTTCTCCAGAAAATTGGAGGAAGAATAGGAGAGAAAATATTGGGGATTATTGAAAATATTTTAGAGACTTTAAAAATCTGAATGTGAATTACTATGCATAAACTTATGCAGGTAATTTTGAAAATCTTAGAAAATACCAATTTTTTTAAAAACTGACATAAGTGTTAGCAAATCTTAATAAGCTAATCATAAAGGAATCTGCCCCCCACAAAAGTTTCTAGGAACAAATCAAAGAATAGAATAGAGACCTTCCCAACTATGACGCTAGCACAACCCTAACAGAATCTAAACAAAGATGCAGGGACGGGGGTGGGCTGGGGGAGTGATGTAGCTGGCTCATTCAACATTAGACTGTACAAGTAGAATGAAAAGTTGGTGCATTAACAACTAAAGGAGAAAAACCGTATGATTTTAGCTGACATGGGAAAAGTAATTAAAATTAGCATCTCTGATTCAAGAAGAAAGGGGAAAATGCTCATAATAAGACAGTAATGAAAGAAAACTCCTAACTGGGTGAGATACAAACTGGAAATGAACAGCATACTTATTGTCATGGTCCAAAGTATGTTTTCACTCCTATAATTCAGAATTGTGAGCCCAGTGTAATAAAGTAAATACAGTTTGGAATTAGTGTGAAATTAAGTAAATGATAACATTGTTCATGTGGCAAGTCTGACAGCTATCAAACATTCAAATTAGAATAGAGGAAAGCGGGTGGGAATGAGCAAACAGTGTGATAAATGCTCCAAGAGTTAATTGGTGAAATAGTAAGTGTTCAGAGCCACATCCAGAATTAAGAACTAAGCATTAGAAATAATCATTAAGTCATTAGATTGCATTAGAGATCTTATTCACATTTGCAGCATATAATATGTAATATAGGAATAAACCTATCAAGACATGAGCAAAGAAAAACATGAAACTTAATTTCTAGGCTTATAGAAGAGTTGAATAAATGGAAAGATACATGAGTATGCTTAGTATAAAGGTATTTTTCACAAAGTATAAATTTGTTGCAGTTCTGATAGAAATTTCAATGGAACTTTTAGTGGAAAGTGGGAAGGTGATTTTAAAGTTCTGATAGTAAATATAAAAGATTAACCAAACTGTTTTTGAAAAATTATAATTAATGTGGGTGAATGTATCAAACAACATATCAGATGATAAAGCTAGAGTATTAAAAACAGGATGGTAAAGGAAGAGGATTAGACAAATTAGTGGCGCAGGCTAGAATCAAAGGCTACTGGATACATCATAAAGTTAAGTAGACTGGGAGAGAACAAGTATTATATATATGATATAAGTGAAAGTTTCTAGTAAATAAGAAAGTGTAAGTTGGCACAACAAAAACAGCAAAGAATAAATGTTCCCAAAACAAATGAAAGGAAATGATGCTCAATCTCACAAATAAGTATCTAGAAAAAATGTAAGGCAGTGAAAGGCCACTTACCCATCGGTGTGTTAAAAGCTTTGGCTAATGACGGTCAGAAAGAGATGGGTAGTCAGTCACTTTGATGGCACTGCTGGTGAAAGATTGATTGTATTCTTCCCAATAACTTGCTCTGGTGCCTGAAGTATGATAGCCATTACAATACTTTGGAGGTGGGGGGGACTTGAATATCTTGCTTACAAGAATGGTTAAATTTTGCTATATTCATAATGTGAAGTCTGACCAGTGATTATATAAAGCACTGATGAACATACAAAGATTAGTAAATGACAAAATGTAGAACAATACATATGTGGTCACATTTTGTTTCTGCAAATTATTTTGATTTTTTTTTTTTAATTGCAAAGTTATCAAGTTGCTCAGTGGTTACTTTATTGAGAAAGGCTTTGGATTTTAATTGCTTTAATACTTTAAAAAATTATTTTGTAAAAAAAAGTTTATTTTGTAAATGAAAATTAAAGTTACAGGAAAATGTATATTCAAAGAGGCTAAGAAAAACACATTGATTTTGGAAGTAAGACCATGTGAATGAAATAATCAAGAGGCAAAAAACAAATTGCACAGGATTTCAAGGTAAGTGAGGGACTGAGTGAAGGAAGATTCCCAATGAAACAATTCAGAATACTGGTGGCATTCTTCATGCCGAATTGGGCATCAGCATTTCAGAGAACCCACTCTGTAAGTGGAAACCTTGAGGTTCCAATTAGTAAAAGTGGCTAAAGTCCACCTATATCTCAGTTTTTCCAAGGTAGGCTAATAAATCAGGATAGTCCCACGGTCACTACTTGGAATCTAGTTCCAGAAGAGGGAGCAGGCCAATGAATTGAGTTTTGGTACTTCACACCTACCCATGTATCCTCTCTTGCTTCCCAGACATTCTCGCTCCCTTGAGTGTTTCCTTAATCTCTCACAGAGATAACCCCATTGATGTTCTTGACTCTTGGCTTGCTCTTCCCTACCTGCCCAACAGTGCCTATTATCAGATTGATGATCCAATAATACAATTAGGAGAAAACTTCCCACTCCTTCAGTGGAAAGTTAGATCTTCTGGTCTCGATAATCTGATTTTTCATTTCTGTCTCCAGTTTACCTCTTTTTCTGTTGCTGTAAAATGAATACAACTCAGGGCAACCTTGTGTTGTTGGAGGTTGTGTCTGCCCAAAGGCACCTTAGAAGAAAACTCGGCCATTGGAAGCTATACAGAGCACATTTACATCCTATTTGAGTTCTACTCTGATGTATGTGGGTCTTCACCTCCCCTGGAAGCTTACTTAATTCCATAAACCATATTTTCCACTCACAAGTGTGGCTAGTTAAATCTCCATGAATAATTTTGTATACAGTGAACCCTCGCCACTTCGCGCTTCGACTTCCGCGGCTTCACTCTATCGCAGTTTTTGCGTAACAGCGCATGCTCTGTCATTACTGCCCCTGATTGGCTCATACTGTACACGCTTCTGTCTGCATCGCTAAGTATCGGAGCTACGTATCAGATGCATTTTTGCTTTTGTACAGTGTACTGTAATTGTTTGCAATTTTTAAGAAATTTTATTTAAGCCCTATGATGGCTCCTAAACGAGCTGCTTCTTCTAAGCCTTCTGACAATAAAAATAAGCGCCAGAGGAAGATGCTCACCATCCAGGAAAAGGTAAAACTTTTGGATATAAGGAATCCTACTTCGCGGAATTTCATTTATCACGATAGGGTCTAGAACCGATTAACCGCGATAAACAAGGGTTCACTGTAAATCTTATAGCACTTATTAGGTGCTAAATAAGACAGTCAAGAATGACAGGAAAACAAATTGACGCCATGGAAAACTCACGAGTTAACAGAGCCGAACTCTGTTCCTGAGGGTTTTCTTGACTATCTTTCACTGAGGATCTCGAGGCCTTACTCTCAGTACTACAGGGGATTGAACCACCAACTTTTGAGGTTAGCAGTTTGCACAATTTGGAGACCTACCTGGAATGTAGAATTACCTATTTTAGACTAAGCTGAAGCATAGAGCATAATTAATACATACCGTAATTATGTTTTTCAAGGGTTTTTTGTTTTGTTAGGTGCATTATAAACATTTGCTAAAACGCC